CTGTGTGACTACGGGCGCTTTTCCACCGCACCAGGTAACGTACTTTCGGTACTTCCATAAAGTACCAAAAGTATGGTACTACTTTTGTGTCGGTTGTCCACTGGCGTAAAAACTGCTACCGGCGCCAAATGACATCAGTGATCGCCCCTGACTGACATCATCACAAAGTGCGACGCAGTATTTCTTTCGCTGAATTCAAACATGTTATGTTCACTTTCCTGTAGTCCTGCTTTAAGTTTTTTTTGATTTTCAAGCGGCATTGTTTGGTGTTTCACGTGTGCCCCATTTGTTCTAAGCGGCTTGCTATTACGGCAAATACTTTTTTATTCCGAGTCGTGTCATCCAAATCCCGCTGGATCTGTTCATCCGACCATATGGCAATTAAAGCCTGTGTTTCCTCGTTTGTCCATCCTTCCGTTTTACTTTTTTATATTTTTGCTTCTACTGCTTTTTATTTCGTTTCTCGCTGTTTGCTGTGTGTATTTTGTGTTTCAGCAGCAGGCTATTTGCATAACCACTCGACAGCAAATACATTTGTAAGTCCCACCCCAAAGTACCGAAGTACCCCAGCTGGTTTGGCACTTTCGGTACTGGAACTTTCGGTACTGGTACTCGACCGGAAGTCAATGGAAAAGCGAAAGTACCGTACTTTGTGCGGTGGAAAAGCGCCCTAAACATCGGTCTTCCTCAACAGTGATGCCCGTGTGGTGAAAGACATGGCAACGGGGAAATCTAAGGGCTACGGCTTTGTGTCCTTCTTCAACAAATGGGTACGTCTGTCCCCTAGTGCCGATTCCCCGCTGATCCAATAAAGCCATATCATATTTTGTCTGCATATATTTGGAAATGTTTATTCCTTTTTATAAAGTGAACGGAGGCTCCCGTTACCCTGAGGCCACCGTGACATAAGTTGTTGTGCTTCGAGTGTGTGACGGTCACGGTTTCTTGTGCCTGTGCTCGCTGTAGGACGCAGAGAACGCCATCCAGCAGATGGGTGGCCAGTGGCTGGGCGGCAGACAGATCCGGACCAACTGGGCCACGAGAAAGCCCCCCGCTCCCAAAACCACCTACGAGAGTGAGTCTCAGCGGGCGTCTTGGGGGGGATACCAGCCCCACCCTGTGAAATACTGACCGCTGTTTTTTTCCCCCCTCACAGGTAACACCAAGCACCTGTCTTTTGAGGAGGTGGTGAACCAGTCTAGCCCCAGTAATTGCACTGTGTACTGTGGAGGTGTCACCTCTGGCCTCACTGGTATTTGCATTGCGCCCCCCCCCCCCATAATATCTGTTTATCATAGGCACATTGGCTTTGATTCATCTCGGTCTCTTCTTGTATTTCAGAGCAACTGATGAGACAAACTTTCTCCCCTTTTGGACAAATCATGGAAATCAGAGTTTTTCCAGACAAAGGTTATTCATTTGTGAGGTATGTCGGTTTATTGGTTCATGTCGCGGTTTAGCTTCTCTGGGCTGTTCTTAGCTTGTGTTTAGATATCAGTTGATGTGTGAAATTTTGGGATTAGACTTTTTGTAAGATTGGTTTATCCACTGACGGTGTGACCCTGTGTAAGCTTGGATCTCATTGGCTTATAAGTAAAAAAAAAAACAAAAAAAACAAAAAACCTGGTTTACAAATGTAGATCATGCAGAAAGTGTTTCCTTTACATGTCTGAATTGTTTTTGGGGGACCTTAGTTCTGCCTTTTTCAGCCTCTTTATCTTTAAATGTGTGAAACACCCCATCAGGTTTATCCACGTGCATAAACGTGATCTTAAAAGGTCTCGTTGCTTTAAACTCCTTCAGGTTCAATTCCCACGAGGGGGCGGCACACGCCATCGTCTCTGTGAACGGCACCTCGATAGAGGGCCACGTGGTGAAGTGTTACTGGGGGAAGGAGACCACAGACATGGTGAACCCCATGCAGCAAGCCCAAGTGCCCCAGGTGGGGGACTTTATCGGTGCCTTTCCCTCCATTTCCAGTGGCCTCGGGTGTCACATATCTTGTTTCATCTGATCTGCCTCACATTGTCTGTCCTGGTTCCCCCCTGCAGCAGAACAAGGTGGGCTTTGCTGCCCAGCCCTACGGCCAGTGGGGCCAGTGGTATGGCAACGCCCAGCAGATCAGCCAGTACGTGCCCAATGGCTGGCAGGTGCCCACCTATGGCGTCTATGGGCAAGCATGGAACCAGCAGGGCTTCAAGTAAGTGTCTGTGCCAGCAAGGCCTCTGTCCCACCACTGCACAAGCACTCTCACTCCCCATGAGTGTGCAGACTATGGGAGGGGTCTGTCTTCATCCTAATTTTTTAAAGACCCCACCAGTTACAGTGAATGTTCTTCCCAGTAGGGCTTCAGTGCTATGATAGTTAATGAGATTGTAGGGTTCACGTCATACAAGGCATACAAAGGCAGGGAATTATCATGATTTTTTTCTACCAGCCCCCCCGCATTACGTACAGGTGCCAAGCGAACTTGAGCTGTTGCAGTTGTGTTCTAACCTACTAGTTAACATTCGGTTAACAGCTGTATGATAGCGTGGGATGAGTTATTTGCTTTGTCTCTCTGCCATTGATTTTTTGGATGTTAATCAGACTTCTTCCTGTTGTCTTGGTTTTAGTGACGTGTATACATTTTTTGGGGGGGTTTTACTGATTTAAATCCTGTTGTAACCCCCTTTTGGGATCTTGGCCACAAGTTCTTCCCTGCAAAGATGCACCATGTAGTTCCTCAGAACTGAGGGTCACAGTTGGGTCCTATGAATGCCCACTGGGACTTTAAATTTATTGCTTAATAATGCCAACATATTGATTTCTTCAGTTGACATCTTAATCATTACATCCAATTGATTTGAAGTCTGACAGCTATATAAAGTAAAACAAATATTTACTCTAAAGGCAGTTTGACCATAAGCTGTTTTGAATTTTTGCGGCATAGTAATTGGTATCTTACTCTTATGTTTCTCCAATGGTGCCCATTTGAAGGAGCCCCTTAATCTGTTCATATTCTGTATTTAAATGTTCTGCAATTTCTGGAGTGTCTGCTTTGCCACAGCTGGTCATGTGATGTGTTGTGCCTTATTGTCATGGTCCTGGCTTAGTCCTCATTCTAACCTCATTCTAACCTTTTTTTTTGGACCCCCTGCTTCCCCCCCCCCCATTCCAGTCACATACAGCCAGGTGCTGGGTGGACAGGCGTTGGCACAGTCAGTAACGGCGCCGTGGTGGAACCAGCACAGGGAGTGAATGGCAGCGTGCTAGCGAACCAGTCAGGCATGGGCACCACGGGATACCACACACACTGATATGGGAGTGGGTGGCTCCAGGCCTCCAAAATCCCAGGATGCCTCACTGCATCAGTTAACAGTTCCGACTGTGTATGTGAGTGCGTGCGTGCGCGCACGCGTGTGTGTGTGTGGGTGCGTGTGGCAGTGATTAAGGAGGGAGGGAGGATTTTGATTGGGGGCTGGGTGGGCAATTTGTACTTTGACCCCACCCTCCACCTCCCCCATTTTTTTTTTTTTTTTTTTTTTTTTTTTTGTTTTTTTTTTTTTTAAAGGAAGGGAAAACCATTGCTTACCACCACAGAGGACTAGG